AGCAAAATCAAGATGAAGCTGTGTGTATTATGGTGATTATGTTCATTTAGCCTCATGATTTCCATTTTCTGGCTTTTTAATAATGTGCTTTGAGCCAGTTTCATGGATGTGTAGATTTCCCAGGAGTAAGAACTGCAAAAGGCCCTGCAACCAGAGAGCACCTGTAAAGCCTGGGTTGAGGTGCAGGTCTGTGCTGACATGCTGACACCTACTGTTCATAGTGCCATGCAACAGTTTACTGACTCTTAAAGCTCTTTTTCCAACTAAAATTGTATTTTAATTGGTTTAAATTGTAAAATGAGTAACTATCCTTTCTAAAAAATCCAGACCCAGAAATGTATACTGTAAAACCTGACTCAAACCCTCTAAGCCCCTGGCCATCAGCTTGTTGGGCAGTCCCCAGACTCAGCGTCTGGATGAGCATCCTACCACGTCCTAACAGAGAGACACAAATCATGGCTGTGTGGTATTCACCCAGTCTGCGGATGTAGCAGTTCTTGATTATTACAGTGTTACATAGCACACCTTTGGACTAGCAAGACACACACACCCAAACACACATACACCCCCAAACACACACACACAATGACTTAAGAATGCCTCAGCTGGGCATGGTGGCCCACACCTTTAATTCCAGCACTCAGGAGGCAGAGGTAGGCAGATCTGAGTTCAATGACAGCCAGGACAGCCAGGACTATTAGACAGAGAGACGTTATCTTGAAAAAACAAAATCATGCCCAAACAAAACAAAACAAAAGAATGCACTCCTCAGAAGGACCACTGGTTCTGCCACTTAATTCTGACAGCGACTGCCAAATCTCTCTCTATGACACAGTGGCACCTTCCCAGTACTAACGCATTTGAGGACGTTTGCTTCCCCACTCCTTTATGAAGCAAGTTCCTGACAGAACTAATCTTTGAAACTTGCCAGCTAAGAGAAGAAAAACATTACTATTTAAAACTAAATTCGGTGCTGGGATATGGTGATGCATACCTTTGATTCCAGCATTCCAGAGGCAGAGGCAGATGGATCTCTGAGTTCAAGGCCGGCCTAGTCTACAGAGGTCAGCCAGGGCTACAGAGAGAAATCCTATCTCAAAAAACCAAACCAAACCAAACCAACCAACTAGTCAAACAAGAAAACAAACAAAAAACCCAAACTAAAAAAAAAAAAAAAAAAAAAAAAAAACCAAAAAACAAAAAACCAAGAACAAAAAACAAAACTAAATTCAATATTTTTTTTTCTTTAAGCACATGACAGGCTGTCATTAACATTGTTTTGTGGTCCGTACAAAAGACATAGTTGTGGATTGTTTTGTTGCTCACACAGCAGCTGTTGAGCTGTGGACTCCAGCACAGGGAGAGCCCTTTCTCGGCCCCTGCACACCTGCACAGACTGTGACCATGAGTCCTGGACACTTAGTCCTGACCACCGGGTGCTCACTGCTGTCCCACGTGACGGCTGATTCTGTCAACTGATGGGATTCAAAATCACCATGGGAATGAACCTCTGGTGAGGTTATGCAGATTAGGTGCCTGGGTCCTGGACTGAATAAACAGGAGAAAGTGAGCTGAGCACAAGCCTTGGTCTCTTCCTGCTTTCTGACTGCGAACACAATGGGACAGCTGCCTCCTGCTCCTGTGACTGCCTTATAAGGTGCATCCTGGAACTGTGAGCCGAAATTAACTTTTCTTTACTCAAGTCCCTTTTAGGTGATCACTGACATACACGAAGTATACTTTTCCTATCTGAACTCTATTTTCATTTTTTACACACTTTTACAGCAGTTAAGGCTCAAAGTTCTTTACTCCTGAGGTCCAACCTTAGCCTTAGAATGTTTACTTCTGTAAGCAGGCCAGCAGCGGAAGGCCCTGATGCACTGTGACACCAACACACCATGGGGTGATGAAGACAAGGACTGTCTTTTATACCGTTGGGCACAAGTGGGAAAACCCTTTTAAAACAGGATAAAGCATGGCCTGCTCCCCTTCTGAAGACTAAAAGTTCACTTCAAGTCCCTCAGTTCTGAGACTGAGTTTGCCCCCAGGATCACAAAGAACACCAGTCACGACACTGGTGCCACCACAGGCTCATCAGGGTCCCAGGAAAACAACCATTTGCTTATTTGCCAAGTGTTCCTTGTGGCTTCTGTATGGGACAGTCGGTCCTAGGGGGTCTTTTTGGCCACTGCTTCTGTAGTGTCCACGTCCCTACCTAATTCCTGTGGTGGCAACTCTCACACATGCCCCAGGACTACAAGGAGAATATGGAGGCACTGGAGTCTATGGTGAGCTGAGGAGAGCCAGCCTATGCTGCACAGCAGACCCTTGCCTCAGGCCCAGCCCGTGTCACCAGCCTCTGGGGACTCTCGCCCACTGCCCTGTACTTGGGACGGCCTGTCGCTCTAGGGCAGCCCTGTGGGAACACACTGAGCTCAGCTTTAAGTCGAGCAGCAGCGCATTCTGGGCCACCTGCTTGCTCCCTCCCTCCCTTTCACCACATAACACAACAGACAACAGGCAATTTTCAAGGCCTTCAAGAAAAGTCTCTCACTAGTGTTCCCAGAAGTCACCATTACTGCCAGTCCCTGCCACCAAGGTGGGAGGGAAGCAGGAGTCTGTTTTTGCATTATTCAACCTCACCTGCCATAAGTACAAACTATATCAAGAAACCAAATGCTGGTAAACTTCTCAATGGTCCACATGGCTCTAAAGGACAACTCTGGAGGCACCCAGTGTCTGAATGCCCTCAGTGTGGGTTCTTTACCACCTAGGCAGCTCTTGCTCACTACACAAGTCTAGGGATTGCTCTCTCCTCCTGTTGGACGAGAAGGACATGTTCCCCTTCTGTGTGAGCATAACGTGGCCACTGGGAAGTAAATGCAGCAGGCAGCCGTGGACCTGTGCTTGTTCCTACAGCTTGACCTTCACACCTGGAAGATCTGCACGCTGATTTCTTTGCATTCCAACACTTCATGCTTGGTACCAAGAGAGTAGGAGCCAGAAATATATGCAGAAAAGCTATGCTTAGTGCCACCACCACCAAGGTGTCCGAGGTCACCGAGTTCCCTTCTAGGATTTCCCATGAGCATGTGGGGTCTATGGAATTGCTGTTACTCTGGAGGTTCAGCTCTTAGTATTTGTCTAAAAGCTTTTGTCATGAGCACTTTCTTATGCGATTAACTTTTTGATCTGTTTTGGTTTTCGATAGGGTCTCAAATATGATCCAGGCTGACCATGAAGTCACAATCCTCCCTCCTCAACCTCCTGAAACCTGGGATTATGGGCATGCATCACCACACCTGGCTGCTACTAATTAACTTTCAAATTTAATTAAAAAAAATTGCTTAGCTAGGTGTGGTAGCACATGCCTTTAATCCCACCGCTTGGGAGGCAGAGGCAGAGGCAGGTGGATCTCTGAGTTTGAGGCCAGCCTGGTCTACAGAGTGAGTTCCAGGGCAGCCAGGGCTACACAGAGAAATCCTGTCTTGAGAACCCCAAAAACAAAACAAAACGAAAACAAAAACATCCAAAAATTTGCTTAATAGTTTCAATAATATTTGATCAAATGTTTCATGTCTTCTTCTTCATTATTATTTTATTTTTTTGATGGTCCTGAGATGGAGCTTGTAGCTTCTAGTACAATAGGCAAGCTGTCCATTACTGAGTCACACCCTGGTCCAGCCTGGAGGAGACTGTATTTTTATTTTGTTTTTGCAGTGCTTGTATGGAATCCAGAGTCTCGGGAAAGACAGGCAAGTGTCTCATTGCTAAATTATGCCCTCAACCACATTTCAGAATTTTTAACCACCCAGTCTCTGTTAAACATTTAAGTGGATCTCAGTTTTTGCTTTTATAAGGACTCACAGAGACCATCTATATTTGATTTTTATATATTATTTTGCATCTTAACAAAGTGATGATTAGTTTGAAGGGAATGGTGGCCCAAGACGTAGGAAGTTTGGCCGTTTTATCCTTTAATGCTTGTCTTGAATGCTTTTCAGAGAACTTACTTGGGCATCTAGCTTGACATACAATTAAGAAGCAGCTGAGGGTCTCGGTTTTCAGTTGTCAATATGCAGGAAGGAGAAGATGTTCAAAGAATCTGCTTCAGACCTACAGACAAACCTAAAAGCCTATCTCTGCAGCTCTTGCATGAACTCAGAGGCTGACCAAGTGTAGCTGCTGCAGTTTTGGGGCCATTAGCTTGGGCACAAATCTGTAGTCTTGACACATCTTGCATCACAGCTAAGGAAGAGTAAGACCCAGAAGGCAGTTTGGCAGAGTAAATTCCCATTGTCCCCAGAATGCTAAGTCACCAAGCATGGCACATGGATAGGTCTGAGCACACTCCTCCGTGAGGGAGCTAGACAAGGTAACATGTGATGCTGGCAAGTTCTAGACAGGCAGATTTTTGCCTGTGCTTTCTTTAAGGAGAGATGAGGGAAGCAAAGCTGGCCACTTTGCTTTTCTTTTTGTTTTCTTTTGTTCTGTTTAAGACAGGGTTTCTCTGTGTAGCCCTGACTGTCTTGAACTTCACTCTCTAGACCAGGCTGGCCCACAGAGATCCTCCTGCCTCTGACTCCCAAGTGCTGGGATTAAAGGCATGTCATGTGCCACTACCACTTGGTGGCTGGCTCTTCTGTCTTAACTACTGATGCCTGTACCATGACAGCGCTTTGGTGTAAGGTGTGACAGAATCCACAGAAACCAAAGGAAGGCTGAATGTGACTGAGCTCCACCTAACCCAAACCCCTGCAAATCCTGGCCCACCTGCTCAGGTCACAGCTGGGCTAACAGACCCCAGTGAGCCAAAGATGGGGACAGGATTGGGGCTTTGTGTCATTAGGAAGAGACTTTGAGGAACAAAGATCAAACTCCAAGGCCAGCACCAGGGATACATGGGGAAGAAGAAAGCAGCATGAGGACCCCAGCTTCAGGTGTGAGCACCAAGGTTGTGGAAGCCAAGGTTCCACTGTGGCAAAGAACTCAGGACTCACCTTCATGACTGGCTGGGCAAAGTAGCGGGCACTCCAGTCGCAGAACCCAGTCTGTATCGTAGCACAAATGAAGCTTTTGTGTCCGGCAGCATCATCTGCATCATCTGTGGTCTTGGGAGTGTTTGAGAAAGAGCAGAATCAGGAGGAAATGCTTTAATCTCATTGTTCCTATACTGACTTTAGCTTTGAGACAGGGTCTCACTATGTAGAGCCCAATCTGGCTTGGAAGTCCTGATCTTCCTGCCTCAGGCTCCTGAGTGTCAGGATTGTATGGTTGTGCCAGTAACTCTGGTACTCCTCGACTTCTTACACTTGAAAGAATGTCTAACTTAAGACAAAGGTCACAGTGAACAATGCTGTGACAGATGACCATTCTGTGCTCTTCTCACTTGCAGTATAGAACCAGTGGTCTTCCTACCCCAACATTCTGAGTGCTGGGATTCCAGGTGTGTGTTACTGCTCCAAGCTGTGGCTCCTTCTTTATTCCCTAAATGACAAAGTGAGCCATGGCACCCTCTACTGCTGAGAGACACCCTGAATATCCCTCTCTACTGTGCAATGGCTGACAGGATGTGGTTCTCTCTCCTGGACCATTTTTTCCAGCTTAGTTAAAGGAAGAGCTTGTGCCTGCTTGTATAGAGTAATCGAGTGCTCATGGAAAAAAATCAAACAAGCCATTCAGAACAAGATCACAGAGCAGTGGCCAAATCAAGTGAAGACAGAATGCTATTTACCCACAGAGGGGAAAAACAAATTAACTACACATGCTTATAGTGACTCATGCAGTGGCCCAGATGAGCCAACCTAGAAGGAGGATGAGCTGTAGGAAGACCAGACCTGCAGATAGGGTGCTGCACCTGGGTGCCACTGTGTCTCAAAGGCAGTAGCTGGCATTGGGCCACAGGGACAGAATGATCCCAAACTAAGGAATGTCAGGAAAGCAAAGTCCTTAGCACCCTGTCCTGACACGGAGTGCTTACAGGTCATGAGAGGCTGCAAAACAGCTCATGTCTTTGTACCTGATCAGGGCCTTTGTCAAACATCTTTCGTGTTCGAGGGAACTGGTGGGAGTGAGGGGTATACTGGGCCCCTGTGGGGCCCGCAGTGCCCGGGCGGCTGGAGGGCAGGTCACGGCTGACAGTCTGCTTGGCCACATCATTGGTCAGGCTACAGCTGCTGGTGCTAGATGCTGGGGGGGAGCCTCTGCAGTTGCGAGAAGATCAGACGGCATGCTTTACTGAGGGTCACAACACAGAGATGAGATCCCAGGCCCTCTCTCCCAGAGATGTCTCCCCCAGAAATGTGCAACCGCCTGGCCTGCCACTTGCTGAAGCTAAGTAGGACTGTCCTTGGTGCATGCTCCCTGGCAGGCATTGAGATGCATCCTTCACTAGACAGGAATGAACCAAGGCAGTGAGGAAAAGATAACATAATCCAGAACTGGTGTGCCCAGTCAGTCACACCATTTCCTGAGCAGAAAGTGGTGTGGCAGTGTAGAACCAACCCCATTGCTCACCTACATAGAGAACTAGGTCCTCTGAAAAAGTTCCAAAGGCCATAGGAATCAGACATCATTCAATGTTTCTTGTCAAGCTGTGTGCAAATGAAGTGTTCTTGGGATAGGAAAGAAGTTTAGAAAGGGGCATCGTGTGCATGTGTGTTTAGGGAGAAAGGAGGGAGGAGGGAGAGAGGATGGAGAGGGGTGGAGAAGTGCTAAGAGAGGAGAAGGGAGAGGAAAGCAAGGACCTGGCGGTGATGTAGCATCTGGGACCTCACCAGAGTGGAGAGGATTTGGCAAGCCACTTACCCCACTTGGTGGATGTGCATGCCCTTGTTGGTCGGGCTGGCTGGGGCCGACTGGGTGAGCGAGGATGTGTCGAGGATTCGCTGGGGCCGGGCATTCACTGTGGCCTACAAGAGCAAAGGAGGAATAACATGGGAGGTCAGAGGTGATGATCTATCTGAAGCTAGGAGGCTGCAGATTCCTGTGAGATCCATGGCTGTTCCTGTGTAGCTTCAAAGTGGAGAAAGCTTTTGTTTTCACGGAGGAGAGCCCCCCAGGTAAGACACTCCCAGAGGTGGCACCTAGGGCAAAGTGGTGCTCTTTGAGTTCTCTAGATGTCGTCCCACACAGCCTGCGAGGCTCAGAGCTGGGGAGGAATCCTTGCAGAAAGCTCTAGGAGGCAGACTGTGAGGTGCTCAAGGTTCCTCCCCTGTACCAAGGCCACCTGGGGTCAGTCCTTAGCACTCTCCCATCCTGCTGGCCTCTCATCTCAGAGTCATGAGGTGACCTAAGCAGGTGTACTGAGGGTCAGGAAGTGCTGTTGTCCAGCTGGAGTGCTGGGTCACAAGACAGTCCAGAACTGTGGCTGCTGGGCAGTCACAAATGTCCTGCCTTCCTCAAAGGGGTCTGTGAAAATCAAGGGGCTGGAGAGTTAGAATGACACACAGAGTTTCAGTTTCCTCAGGACAAACCACTCCTGACTTGCAGTGGGTCACAGAAATACGAAGTAGGAATTCAGCTGACTATGACAAAGCTATACCCGGAAGAAGCCAAGGGCCTTTCCAGAGGACAAAGCCAAGACTTAAAGAGTCTTGGTGATGTTGGCTTTTGAGTATTAGCCATTTCCTGCTAAGAATTTCTCATGTGCTATTGTAACTTTTCCATTCCTAGAACAGTGTGTTGATCATTCATTGGGCACAATTTCCTCTATACAATTAAAGTTTTTGGGTAACATCCTCCAACTGTGCTAACATCAGACACAGCCAAGACCCCTAATTTCAGGCCTTTCTGTAATTAGCGTCATTAGCAACATCTGGCCAGGACTGTCTCCGGATGAAAGTATTTTATCTGAGATACCTCTCAAACATGCAAGCACAGACTGCAGATAGACAAGCATCCAGACCACCTGCTAGTCTCCTGAAAATAAGGTAACTATCCATATAGAGACAACCACCAAGGCCAGGCAGATGTTAGATACAAAGTCTTGTTTCTCGTGCAAATTTTGCAAATTTTGAGCACAGAAATCCCTTCTTAGATATATTGAGCCAATTTAGCCCTCAGTTGATTCTATTTCCCATTATTCATTCCTTTTTGGGTTGTATATGATAGCTGGCAATTACTGCTCTTTGGGTGGATCTTATCACTTCTCTGTTTAACCCTGAAAGAATTCAAGCCTGTGTGGCCCTGCCTTAGCCAGGACTTGCTGCTTTGTATGGGTATATATATAACTGAGAACCTCAGACTTGGGGCGGAGCTAGAAGAACAAGATGGAGGATGAGGATAGAACTTACAGAGAACAGCAGAAAAGTGCAGCGAGAAATCAGCAAGAGAGGAGCTAAGAACGAGAGCAGAACAGACAGACGCTGTGTAGAGAGAGAACTGACTTAGAAGAGTAAAGTGAATGGACTAAACAGTTTCGTGTACATAGATTTATTCGAGAATCCCTCAGATTAATTAATTCGCCACTGGTAGTGTCTCTTCTGGAACTCTGGGAAAGACTATGGAGGGGCTGGACCCCAATACTGACTTGGTGTAACTGTCTTACAGCCCTCATCACAGGGGTGGGTGCAGCTCGGTGACTGAGGACAGACTTGGCATGTGACAGGTGACAAAGAACATCACCCTTGTCACACTATGAGGATGGACACATTTATTTTCAGGGCAGGCAATGACTAGGGAAAGGGGTGAGTTGGCAGAGTAGGGGTGAGGCAGGGTAGAGGGAGGGTGGAGGCTAGGTCTGGCTTGCTGATGGGGCAGCTGGCTTCACCCAGAGTCTTGGGTGGCCACCCTGGACTTACAATCTAGGGCAGTGGATCTCATTCTCAATCTTCCAAATGCTGCAACCCTCTAATACAGTTCCTCATGTTGTGGTGACCCCCAGCCCTAACATTCTTTCTTTCTTTCTTTCTTTTTTTGGTTTTTCGAGACAGGGTTTCTCTCTGTAGCTTTGCGCCTTTCCTGGAACTCACTCTGTAGCCCAGGCTGGCCTCGAACTCACAGAGATCCACCTGTTTCTGCCTCCCGAGTGCTGGGATCAAAGGCGTGCCCACCATCGCCTGGCTCCTACCATTATTTCATTGCTACTTCATAACTATAATTTTGCTACTGTTATGAATTGTAATGTGGATATTTTGGGAGATAGAGGTTTGCCAAAGGGTGCACCTCCCACAAACATGTGCAGATCTGAGCTCTGATGCAGGAAGCATCCCCTCAGCCTGAGGTGCAGCACTCAGGTCAGCGCTTTGGTTAGTGTTGGCATGAGTACCAACTGGGTGTCTGCTGACAACACTCACATGCCAAGGTGGCTGCAGGTCTCCCTCTCAAAACTGAGCAGACTGAACGGCTGGAGGAATCCACTGGCTCTTCAGAGAGGTGGGACAGCTTCACAAAGGGCCAGGTGATGTTGTGACCCCTGGACCGGCATGTGCCAGGTTGTCCTCTAGGAGCTCGGGGAGAAGGGGAGCCCCACAGGACTTTGATCTGGGAGAGCTCTGTTCTGAGGTCACTGGCCAGGCCCAACATTTCTAACTCATTCACTCACTGTCAGGGACAGTGTCCCTGTAATACAGTCACCAGACAGGAAGTGTTTATGCAGACAGTGCCCCTTCCCTAGACAACCCTTGGCTTTTTACCAGAGTAGCAAATGGAACTGGAACCAGTCTTTAAATGAAGCATCTCATTGTTAAACTAGAGTAATGCAGATGCTCCATGAACGTTTGCTTGGTATTCAAAGTTCCCAGGCCTCGATATCTCTTGCTCATATAATCCCTCCTCTCTCTCACTGCTGATTGGACTCCTGGAGCTCCACCTGGGGTTTGGCCATGAATCTTTGCATCTGCTTCCATCAGTCACTGGATGAGAGTTCTATCATGACAGTTAGGGTGTTCGGCCATCCCATCACCAGAGTAGGTCAGCTCAGGCACTCTTTTGACCATTGCCAGTAGTCTATTGTTGAGGTATCTTTGTGGATTTCTGGGGACCTCTCTAGCACTCTGCTTCTTCCTATTCCCATGGGGTCTTCGTTTATCATGGTATCTCTTTCCTTGTTCTCCCACTCTGTTCCTGATCCAGCTGGGATCTCCCACTCCCCTAAGCTCTCTTTCCCCTGACCCTTGCCTCCATTACCTCCCCCCTACCCCCAGTTTGCTCATGTAGATCTCATCCATTTCTCTGTTGTTGGGCGATCCCTGTGTCTTTCTTAGGGTCCTCTTTACTAGGTAGCCTCCCTGGAGTTGTGAGTTGCAGTCTGGTTATCCTTTGCTTTACATCTAGTATCCACTTATGAGTGAGTACATACCATGTTTGTCTTTCTGAGTCTGGGTTACCTCATTCAGGATGATATTTTCTAGTTCCATCCATTTGCCTGCAAACCTCATGATTGGAAAAAGCACAGGGACAAATAGCCAAACTAGCGGAAACACATGAACTGTAGACCAATAGCTGAGGAGCCCCCATGGAACTGGACCAGGCCCTCTGGATAAGTGACACAGTTGAATAGCTTGAACTGTTTAGGGCCCCAGGCAGTGACACTGGGACCTGTCCCTGGTGCATGAGCTGGCTTTTTGAAACCTGGGGCCTATGCTGAGACACTTTGCTCAGCCTTGGTGCAGGGAGGAGGGGATGGGACCTGCCTCAACTGAATCTACCAGGCTGGGCTGACTACCCAGGGGAGACCTTGCCTTGGAGGAGGTGGGAATGGGGGGTGGATTTGGGGAGAAGGCTGGGGGGTGGGAGGAGGGAGGACAGGGGAATCCGTGGCTGATATGTAAAATCAAATTAATTATAAAATAAAAATATTTATAAAAAAATTTAAAACAAAAGTTCCCAGGCAACTCTACAGCATCCCTTCCCTGTCCCCTAGACTGACAGTCACATGATTCCTTAAGTCAACAAGGGAAAAGAATTTAAGTGTAGACTCTGAGTTTAAAATGTGCCTTCTCAGAACATCTAGAGAAACAGCAGGAGGTATGGGGGACAGAGGCTTTAGGTGGGTTTCTGAGAACCCCACGGGGTTCTCCTCACCCAGAACACAGGAATGGGTGCTACAGGAGACGGAAAGAGAGCTAGGAGCCCATGGTTTCCAGGTTGGCCTGCTGCAGTAGCCTGCCTCTATTCATGGCTGCTGCAACAAGACTCATTTTGTCATGTTCAGAACCCTGCAAGAAGAGAGAGGCCTGCAGGGCTGGGTCAGGGCTGTGTGCTGGTGATGTCTGGAGGCAGGCTCAGGTGAGACTTCTTTGGCTGCATCACTGTAGTTGACTCATGCTTCCTCAGCACTGGCCATGGCAGAGGTGGGACCAGGTGAGGAGTGGAAACACTGTATCCCTTAGGGATGTGGCTGTAAGGACTGAGAATGTTGGACCAGAAGAGGCTTAGGGGACAGTCCTTCCTTCAGGGACCCTGTCATCCAGTGACTAACTGCCAGGCAAGCTTAACAGAATGCCTTCAGCTACTTAAAGAGTTTGGGTTTGGGACACAGACCACAGTGGATGGCACATTGTGAGACAGGGAACTTCTTGACTGACTGGTCTGTGACTGTCACCAGGCACGCAGTCTGCACAGAATCACTAGGAAGGGGTTGAGCACTTACTCCCATCTGGGGATAGAGGATGAAGAGAGGCAGAGGAGAGGTAGAGGTGAGGTGACAGAGCTACGCAGCTTTTCAGAGACAAACACTACTGGCTAAGCTGAACTCCAGGTCAGGAACTCTTAGGAAGCTAAACTTGAAGTTGGGGATGGAGACGGGGGCTAGAGGTGCCCCGTGCTTCCCGACCACACCTGGGCTCTATCTTGGGTACACCAGGAGCCATTCCTGCTCAGGACTAAGTGCTCTCACAATTTTCCAACTAGAATGTCAGAAGTACGTTGGAAGTCAGAGCCAAACACAGGAGGAAACCTCAGAAACTTGGCAGTGAATGTCCCCACCGAGTCTTACTGGTCTGGGATTGGCACTCCTGAACAAGGGTGCCTGGTGAGGGCAGGGCACTTTGGAAGTGCTCTTCGAATGACTGAGTGGCAATGGGAAGCTGGGCGACAAGTAGAGAGAGAGTCTTACTCTGCGTTCAGGCTGCTCTCAAACCCATGGTTCTACTGTGAGAACCATGCTGCCCTCTCAGCCCCCCCTCCCCGCCCAGGCTAGGTTACAACATTGTTTTTATTTTATTTGAGCTACTTTTTGCATCTTAGGCTGGCTTTGAACTTACTAGCTGGCTGAGGCTGATTCTAAACTTCTGATCCCCATCCTCCGCTCCCCTAGTGCTAGGATTACAGGCTTGCACAACCACTCCTATCTGATGTGGTTCTGGAGATGGACCTTTGGATTTGGGCGTGCCGGGTGAGCACTCCACTAACAGCTACAACTCTAGCCCAGAGGCATTCCTTCAGGGACTTGGGAATATGCCCCTCTAAGAATCAGACTTTACCTCCTTGGGCTCTATGACACTTCAGTTTCCGGAACGTCAGTCTGCACAGGTCCTGGTGAAGGGGTGGCTCCTGGGGGATTCAGAGGCTCTGTCACTATGCTTAGGTGAGTTTACCAGTCTCTGCTTTACTTTTCTCCTGACTCCAGTCACTGAGCAGCCATGCTTGGAGGTGCACCTCTGTTCTCTTCCATCCTCGGTACAGGAGCGGGAAGAGAAAGAGTTGATGGGACCACAGATGGCTCCGTGGGGCCATTACCTCCTCTTTCTACCTTTGTGTGGTTTGAGGGTTCCCAGAAGGAGAAATATGAACGTGAAATAGGGCTGTAGTTGTCAAGTAGCGTGGGTTCTTTCAGATATAACTAGTAGCAACCTCTATATTTGAATGTAGAATTCTAGGGGGCATTCTATAGTAATAAGGCCATTTTGACTTGGATGAGCAACAATTTGGCTTCAGAGTTAAATAATGCAAAATAGATTCATTTCTTTATAAAGCGAAATACAATCTCTTTAGTTTCTAGAGAAGTAAGGCATCTTTTAAAATTAAAATTATGACACACAAACAATTTACATAATGTTTATGTTTCCCAATTCTTCAGTAGTACTTATTCTAAACACACACACACACACACACACACACACACACACACACACACACACACACCCCTCTCCAGGGGCAGCCCACACAGGTCTCTGTAACCCTGGCTGTAGTGGCTGGCATGTTCACACTGGGATCTGTCACTGTAGTAGAACAGACACAGAGGCCAAATGCTTCTTTGATGGGGATTTGGGCTTCCCCACAGACTACTGCCCTGAGAATGCTAGGCTAGCTTTTAAGGTGGCTGCAGCTTGTTAATATGGCAGGGAGTAGACAGGAGGCACGCTACTTTACAGTGGAAAGTATGGGCACTCCCAGCTCAGAGCTGCATTCATGAAACACAACCCAAAGTCTAAGCCTAGGAGGTCAAAACTGTACCCCTACTGTTCCGGGCACTTGAAGCCCTGAAAAGACACTAACACCAAAGCTGTGTGTGCAGCACTAAACTCACAGTAGTGAAATTCACTATCAGTACCAAGGTTACAGTGTTAAATAGGACAGTACCTGTGAGGGCAAATACATCAGTGCACTGAAAGATAAACACAGATAGCCGAGTCCTGACTTGCATGACCAACAGACTCTAGACACAGGCTCAATCTGGTAAAAGTGTCCTCAGTACGAGTCTCAAGCTGTGCAGTTTGTATAAGTGTGGTCAAGGTCGGGAGGCTACCTTATATCTCCAGGAGCAAAGAATAAGTCACCAGACACTTTTGTGCCAGAGAACTGTGATGAGGGGATGGATCTACCTACAAACTATGAACATAAACTACAAAGACTTGATGTCCACATGAAGCTTTAGGATGATTTCACTATCTATATATCAGAGACAGGGTTTCTCTGTATAGCCTGGCTGTCCTGGAACTTGCTCTGTAGACCAGGCTGGTCTTGAACTCAGAGATCTGCCTGCCTCTGCCTCTCGAGTACTGAAATTAAAAGTGTGCACCACCACTGCCTGGCTTAGAAATAATATTTTAAAGACCTAAGCTTGGGGGACACACATGGTAGAAAGGGAGAACCAATTGCCCCTGTCCTCTGATCTCCATAAATGCTATGGCATGTGGACATGGACATAGATATGCGCTCTCTCTCTCTCTCTCTCTCTCTTTCTCTCTCTCTCTCTCTCTCCAAACAAAAATGTAATAAGGACCCAACCTGAAACTGTACTAGGTGGGAGATGCTAGAGTGTTCAAGGTAGTGTGGTAAGTGATAGGAATGACCTTCCCTAATAAGCAGCAGGTAGATGTGGCTCGTGCAGAGCTGCTGCTGTTCTAGAGAGACAAGGAAGTCCTTCCTCCAGCCAGACTCTCCACCTTTCTCTCTTTCCCTTCTTGTTTCCTGTTTTCCTCTTGCCTGTCTTCCTTTGGCGTCAAACCATAGTATATAACAAATACAAACTGTAATAATTGTTTAATTTTCTATTAAACAATAATTTTACTTATTTAAACAACTTATATTATTATTTATTTAAATAATAATTTAATTTAATTTTTACTAAACAATAAAACCTGCAGTTTTTCATTAGGCCAGTAACTGGTATTGGCAGACTGGGTGGGCTGTACACTGAAGGTGGGCATCTCTGCAATGGGTCATACATAATGAAGGAAGTAAGCTGAGCTGTGAAGCTCATAGTGGAAGGTGGAGCCAGGTTAGGAAGTGAGTGGGGCTAGATCTCCCTTGGAGGAGGCCGAGCCAGTCTGGACAGAACAAGTCAGGCTGCCCCAGGCTGGGCACGCTCAACACTTTGAGGATACCCATAAGTGTGACCTCATCTTGAATCTAAAACCCAGAATGCACTCTATGGTATTCACAGTGCTGCTTTCACAAAAAGATGGACAACTGCAGCCCTCTAAGGCTGGGCACAGAGAGGCTGTGACTATCCTGTGTGATCCAGCAGGAGCTGAAGCAGCTGAAGCAGCAGCAGCAGCTGTACTCAGTCAGACAATTTCAATCAGCTAAGGAGAAGACAGAACTAGACACACAGAACACATCTTCAGTCAAAGAGTGAGTACCAGTGACCAGGCCATCAGCTGCAGGAGGGGCTGCTCTGAGGACCCTGCTTGGCCTCCAGACCCCACTGGGAATAAACAATGACTGGAACAAGAAAGCCACAGATCCTGGTCCCTTTCCACCTAGTAAGTGACACTTGAGGACAACTCCCCAGTATGATGGGGTCAGCTGAGGGCTGAATACCAGGTAGGGTGATGTTTCCCTCTATGCTCCTTGCAACTTTTCTGCATGCTCAAAATTTTATGAAAAAGTTATAGAAATTTTCATTCATAATGAATGACTTCTAGTTTTCTCCACTTATGAAAGCTGAACTGTCTAACTTTAATAAACAATTAGAAAAACACCAATTGTTTTCAGAAACTGCCTGTACAGTGGCCAGTGATCCCTCTGATCCCTCAGAGATGGGAAACAACTATCCCAGCTTAAAGGGGCAAGTGGCTTCTAGCCAGTACCCACCTGCAGGGCAGAGAAGGGGAACCCAGGAGGAGCCCAGTGCTCTAAGTAAGGGTGAGAGAACCATCAAGATCCAGGGAGAGGTGGAGGGGAGAGGAGATGGGATTTGCAGGGTAGAGTACAGGGGATGAGGGTGTTTCCAAGGCTGCAGGGAAGGCCTCTTGAACCTCTGACACTCTTCAGTGAGTGGGATGAGTACCCACCCACAAGGCTGGGATAGGGAATGGGAAAGGATTAGGTCAGATCCCTAGAGCTCTTAAAATGGAATAGGAAGAAGCGATAATCCCCAAAGAAGACTAAGCTTTTCTACCTGAAGAATGAGAAGAACAAAAAACCCAAAACAAAAGAAGCAGCAGCAGCAAGTGAAAAAACAAGAGCAGCTAAGTCAAGTGGGAAGTGAAAACAACACAGAACACCAGCCAGCACAAAAGCCCAGCACTATCAATGTGGGTTCTGGAGATGGAGGAGAGGAAATCACTGCAGATCATATAGGCACAGAGACCATGAAAAACAATGGCAGCATTTACATCTGAAGCTACAATGCAAGCCAAGTTCAGGATAGACCATGAAGCTCTAAATTCCAAATGCTTGCTCAAAATTCTATCATCTACCTACCTACCTATCCACCCACCCACCCATCTATCTTCTGGTTTTTTGAGACAGGTTTTTTTTGTGTTGCCCTGCCTGTCCTAGAACTCAGCCTGCCTCTGCCTTCCAAATGCTGAGATTAAAGGCGTGTGCAACCACCACCAGCTTTATTTATTGTTTTAAGTTACAGTATAGGCCCAAATGTCCCTGGAGCTCCTTGTTTGAATATTCATGACAAGCAGAAATGTGAGAGCTTTACTGACAATTTCTCATACACATACCTTGTAAGCAATGCTGTTGAGGACTTTCATGGCCAAATCAGAAACATCTGGATAGGGATCAGCAGCTAGATGTAGCAAGACTCTCCAAATTTGAGTGTAAACACTATTAAAAGAAACTCCTAGGAAAGAGAAACAGGAGATATCTTAGTAGCAAGTAGCTCCCTGTGCATAAAACAGGCTTGTGAGGGAGCTTATTTTCTGAATACCCTATGCTGCTGGGAGGGAGAAGTTAGAGCTGGGTTACAGGAGCTTCCCGGTTTGCTGCTGTGATGGCTCAGCAGGCAAAGGGACGTTTGCCATCAAGTCTGATGATCTGAGTTCAATTCCCAGAACCCACATGGTGGAATGGAAAATTGACTTCCTCTGACTGTCACATGCATACCATGGTATACCTGTGCATGCAAGTGGTGGGTGGATAGGTAGGTACGGAGATGATAGAACACCCACACCCACACGATAAATGTTAAAATTCTAGCAGCAAACAGGCTTCATTTACACAGGTCTCGTCTTTCCCCCTTTTTTTGAAACAGGGACTCACTATGTAGATTAGGCTGGCTTTGAATTTATAGAGAGCCACCGGCCTCTGTCTTCCATGTGCTGGGATTAAAGGAATGTGCCACCATGTCTGGCAGGTTTTTATCTTTTGAGGATGGGTCTTTCTAAAGGAAAATGGCTAAAAACAGTCAGAGTTTGCATCTGGATAACATCGTTGGTTGAATAATACTACCCAGTTCCCATGCGTATTTCCTCTCATGTTTTAGGTTCCTAGATGACACCAAGGCCTTATGTGGGATGCAAACTTCTGTCCACAGCACACTCTACATGCAGTTTGCGCCCATGACTTGCGCTCCGGTTGTCCACTCCCTATGCTGGCACTGTTTTATCTAAGTCCCTAGGAAGTCACAAGGTGTATATGCTGTCATCACAGTCTTGTGCTGCAAAGACAGGCAAGACAGGGCCCTGGAGAACAGATACTTTAGTGTCAGGCATGAAGGGAAGGAAAGGCATGCTTGCCAAGGACCTTAGTGGAGGCTGCTCAATCCTATGTAATTCCTCAGTAATCGTAAAGACAGGCATTGCTCCTAGTGTGACAGAGAATGATGGCAAGGTCCAGTGAGTACTTATGCCCAGGCTCAAAGGAAAATATGTGAATGTACATGCTGGACCTTCAAGCCAGGCCACTCCAAGGGGATGATGCCCTAGGGAGATGCATAGTGCAGGTGGCTATTCAGAGGAGCAGGTCTGATCTCACAGCAGGAAAGTGGAGGGGGGAAGGCTCGTGGTATTAAGAGTATGTCTAAGATTCAGAGATGATGGAAAACACCAAACCTTTGGAGAAGCACAAATAAAACCTGAGATCCCTGCAAGGGGCAGCCAACCCAGAAACCTAAAGGGGGGAACGGGCAATAGGGTTCAGGACTGCTAGGTACGTAAGCCTGCTGAGAGCAGGGGCCACTGCATGCTAGGGAATGAGGTGACCTTAGAAGAGGACATCAATTGAGAAACGGCTGCTCAGAGTAAGAGGGGCTAAGAGTGGAGCTTGGTTTCCTTGCTTGACTGTTGGTATAGGGCAGAGTCAGCTTTATAGTGGAATGGATGGGAGATAGTCATAGACAATTCCATTCTGTATTCTGGGGTAAATCTGAACAGTCTGCTTGCTGCAAAGAATGTTCTTATTCAATACCAGCAAGAGAGATTCAAGGAAGATTTCAAACAAATCCTGCCCCCACGTCCCTTGCTTAGCCAACTCTACGAAGGAGTCTGAACGTAGACAGGCTGTTGGGACACAATGTCACTCAGCGAGCACTTTAGTAGAATGAGTTTCATGAATACAAAGTTCAAAGTCAGACTAATGAGGATTGGAATGAGGTGGACTGAGTGCGTGACTTTAACACAGGTGTGCATCCCTAATGATTGCTGGACCTACACCCATTTATCTATAGACGTGAGGTGAAGCCAATGTCCCTTCTATTAATCCTGGCTGTGTAGGGTGAAGCCTGAGCCATGGCAGTCATGTATATCCACTCACCAAGAGGTTGCAGAAGCCGAGAGGGCAGCCTCTCAGCTCCTGAATGCATGGTTTCCCTGCTTAGGTGACCAAAATGTTATTGCCTATCACTGAAGGCCTGAGTCTTAAGAAAGGCATTTAAAAAATATTTAATTTTTAAGATGGGTATGTGTGTTTGTGCCTGAGGGTATGTATGTGCACTATGTGCATGCAAGAGCCCACAGAGGTCAAAAGAGGCATCAGATCCCCTGGAACTAGATGTGGCTGACCTGCTGTGTGGTGTGGGTGCTGGGAATCAAACCCAGGTCTTCTGTAAGAGCAGTAAGCACTCTTAACCATTAAACTATGTCTTTAGCCTCTGAGACAGGCATCTCTTTAAAGTCATGACTTTGGAAACAGAATGTCCTACAATGGCACTGTGGGCATGGCACACACTCACAGACATGTACTTGGTGGTTCCTAAGACCTTCAGTACTGGCTCTGTTCACAGTTGTGGGTCCAAGAGGAGCCAGGTAGGCACATGTGCCAGGAGACCTAGGTCTGTGGTAACCCTGGATTTGGTGAAATGAAACAACACACAAGCCCACTCTGGCTTGGGCTGACAGTGGCAGGGATAATCCAACGAAAGCGGTCTGCTGACTCCATGCTCTCCTGCTCACTCCATTTTCTCACCTGCTCACTCCATGTTCTCCTGTTCACTCCATGTTCTCCTGCTCACTCCATGTTCTCCTGCTCACTCCATGCTCTCCTGCTCACTCCATTTTCTCACCTGCTCACTCCATGTTCTCCTGTTCACTCCATGCTCTCCTGCTCACTCCACGTTTTCCTGCTCACTCCACGTTCTCCTGCTCACTCCACGTTCTCCTGCTGACTCCATGTTCTCTCCTGCTCACTCCATGTTCTCTCCTGCTCACTCCATGTTCTCTCCTGCTCACTCCATGTTCTCCTGCTCACTCCATGTTCTCCTGCTCACTCCATGTTCTCCCCTGCTCACTCCATGTTCTCCCCTGCTCACTCCATGTTCTCTCCTGCTCACTCCATGTTCTCTCCTGCTCACTCAATGCTCTCCCCTGCTCACTCCATGCTCTCCTGCTCACTCCATGTTCCCCTGCTCACTCCATGCTCTCCTGCTCACTCCATGTTCTCCTGCTCACTCCATGTTCTCCTGCTCACTCCATGTTCTCCTGCTCACTCCATGTTCTCCTGCTCACTCCATGTTCTCCTGCTCATTCCATGTTCTCTCCTGCTCACTCCATGTTCTCCTGCTCATTCCATGTTCTCCCCTGCTCACTCCATGTTCTCTCCTGCTGACTCCATGTTCTTCTGCTCACTCCATGTTCTCTCCTGCTCACTCCATGTTCTCCTGCTCACTCCATGCTCTCCCCTGCTCACTCCATGTTCTCTCCTGCTCACTCCATGCTCTCTCCTGCTCACTCCATGTTCTCCTGCTCACTCCATGTTCTCTCCTGCTCACTCCATGTTCTCTCCTGCTCACTCCATGATCTCTCCTGCTCACTCCATGTTCTCTCCTGCTCACTCCATGTTCTCTCCTGCTCACTCCATGTTCTCCTGCTCACTCCATGCTCTCCTGCTCACTCCATGTTCTCTCCTGCTCACTCCATGCTCTCCTGCTCACTCCATGTTCTCTCCTGCTCACTCCATGCTCTCCTGCTCACTCCATGCTCTCCTGCTCACTCCATGTTCTCCTGCTCACTCCATGTTCTCTCATGCTCACTCCATGTTCTCTCCTGCTCACTCCATGTTCTCTCCTGTTCATTCCATGTTCTCTCCTGCTCACTCCATGTTCTCCTGCTCACTTCATGCTCTCCTGCTCACTCCATGTTCTCCTGCTCACTCCATGTTCTCTCCTGCTCACTCCATGTTCTCTCCTGCTCACTCCATGTTCTCTCCTGCTCACTCCATGTTCTCTCCTGCTCACTCCATGTTCTCCTGCTCACTCCATGTTCTCTCCTGCTCACTCCATGTTCTCTCCTGCTCACTCCATGCTCTCCTGCTCACTCCATGCTCTCCTGCTCACTCCATGTTCTCTCCTGCTCACTCCATGTTCTCTCCTGATCACTCGATGTTCTCTCCTGCTCATTCTATGTTCTCTCCTGCTCACTCCATGTTCTCCTGCTCACTCCATGCTCTCCTGCTCACTCCATGTTCTCTCCTGCTCACTCCATGTTCTCCTGCTCACTCCATGTTTTCCTGCTCACTCCATGTTCTCTCCTGCTCACTCCATGTTCTCCTGCTCACTCCATGTTCTCCTGCTCACTCCATGTTCTCTCCTGCTCATTCCATGTTCTCTCCTGCTCACTCCATGTTCTCCTGCTCACTCCATGCTCTCCTGCTCACTCCATGTTCTCTCCTGCTCACTCCATGTTCTCCTGCTCACTCCATGCTCTCCTGCTCACTCCATGTTCTGCTCACTCCATGTTCTCCTGCTCACTCCATGTTCTCCTGCTCACTCCATGCTCTCCCCTGCTCACTCCATGTTCTCCTGCTCACTCCATGTTCTCTCCTGCTCACTCCATGTTCTCCTGCTCACTCCATGTTCTCTCCTGCTCACTCCATGTTCTCTCCTGCTCACTCCATGTTCTCCTGCTCACTCCATGCTCTCCTGCTCACTCCATGTTCTCCCCTGCTCACTCCATGTTCTCTCCTGCTCACTCCATGTTCTCTCCTGCTCACTCCATGTTCTCCTGCTCACTCCATGTTCTCCTGCTCACTCCATGTTCTCTCCTGCTCACTCCATGTTCTCTCCTGCTCACTCCATGTTCTCCTGCTCACTCCATGTTCTCCTGCTCACTCCATGTTCTCTCCTGCTCACTCCATGTTCTCCTGCTCACTCCATGTGCTCTCCTGCTCACTCCATGTTCTCCTGCTCACTTCATGCTCTCTCCTGCTCACTCCATGTTCTCTCCAGCTCACTCCATGTTCTCCTGCTCACTCCATGCTCTCTCCTGCTCACTCCATGCTCTCCTGCTCACTCCATGTTCTCCTGCTCACTCCATGTTCTCCTGCTCACTCCATGTTCTCCTGCTCACTCCATGTTCTCTCCTGCTCACTCCATGTTCTCCTGCTCACTCCATGTTCTCTCCTGCTCAC